AGCAAGCAAGCAAGCAAGCAAGCAAGCAAGCAAGCAAGCAAGCAAGCCTCACCTACCAACCAATCAACCCAGCTACCAACCAATCAACCAATCCACTTAATATCAACTAGGTGTGTTGTCATGCACTGGTATTCCCAGCTCCCAAAACTGAAAAGGCAAAGATCAGTAGTTTCCTGGGACTCACTAAGCAGCCAACCTAGTATAGTTTCTGAAGTCCAGGCCAGTGAGAGACCCTGTCTGCAAAAAGGTAGACAGCACCTAAGGAAGGACTCTGGCAGGAAAAGTAGTGTTTGTGTACTTGTAAAGCCCTTTCAGCATTTGTGTGTCTCTTCTTTGCATTTGTGATTGTCACTTCATTGATTGCTTCCTTTACTTGCTTAATTGCTGCAGATCCCTTTAAAATTAAGCAAACAAGCACTTCTTCAACCAGAAAACCCAATCCTTCTAAAAGTTGTGTCCAGAGATGAGAGCATAAGTGGAGGATGATTTATAGTGGTCTGTTATGTTGTATCCTGTGGACCAGAAACCAATTCATATTGTGATTGAATCCAGCGATGAAGATTGCAGTAATTTTGTGCACTCCTGCAGGATTCTGGGTGTTCATTGAGCTTGCTCAGCCCCTGTGCAGGTTATCTTCTGTGGAATATAATGCTGTAGTGACACAAATCTAAGATAAATATGGTAACTTCCTGGTTCTTGGGGGACTGCCTATGTTCACTTCATTGTTACCACCAAATACTCTGATTTCTTACGATAAAATAAACACCAATTACTAGTTTTATCAACAATTATTACTGAAAATGAGCATTTTTAAAGTCATGCTATTAACCAAATTTTTACGAAACTTTTTTTATTTGCAGCACACTACAATAAAGTACTAAGCTGAGAAGTCAATAAACATGATGGTATTGACTTTTTGTAGAGAGTTGTTAAAGAATAACTATCTACTTCAGATATGGCACTAATGAGAGACCAAGTCTACCCAAGTCTACCCAAGTCTAGCTTAGTGAGCCAGTACCTTTCAAGGGGGTACTTACAGAATCATGGGTGAAGGGTTGCTTACATATGTATAGGTGATCCAACCTGAAGTTCTGTTGGGCCATGGAAGGGCATCTTGGTTTGTGGGTTGGCATGGGCCTGGAACCCCGAGACTGCAGGTGTTCGGCCATGCCTCCAGAACCCTGACAGGCGGTCTAATCTCCCGTCTAATTTCCATGTAACCTGTAACGTCAATCACATAAGACACAGGTAGAGGGAGTGACTAACAGGCCTCTGCCTCGAGAAATTTACATATTAATGAGTTATCTAAAGGCCGGTGGAGGGGTATAACTAATTAAGTTATCCCTTCCTAATCCCTCCTCTTTCCTACTCCCCTATATAATAAGTCAGCTCTCCCCTGGCTCTTGGGGGGCGCATGCACATCCAGGTCCAACTATCACATCATGGACAATTAACTTTTCTTTGGAACCTAGTCCACGTGTCTTCTGGGGCGGGCCACCTCCACTGGTGTCTCAGGATGCTGCTCGTGTTTTTTTCCCCACACAGTTCCCTGAAATTTTTACTGTTTATGTAACCTGGGACTTTTGGGCTTATGACTCTTATAAGTTTTAGGAACTTCCTGAAACATGTGAACTTTGTTTTACATCCTGAGTCTGATTAAGATTCATCTATTTCTGAATTTTTAAAAATATTTCTCTCTTACATTACATCCTGACCAGTTTCCCTCTCTCTACTCTTCCCTGTTACTCCTCCCTACTTCCTTTATCCACTCCTCTTCTGCTTTCCTTTAGAAAAGAGCAAACCTCCTAGGAATATCAACCAAATACAGTATAACAAGTTACAAAAGGCTAGGCATGAACCCTCATATCAAGGTTGGTTGAGGTATCCCAGAAGGAGGAAAAGGGTCCAAAGAGAAGACAAAAGAGTCAGAGACACCCAACTCCCACAGTTAGCAGTTCCACAAGAACATCAGGCTAAACCACCATAATATTTATGCAGAGGACCTAGTGCAGTCCCATGTAGACTCTCTGATTGTCAGTTTACTCCTTATGAGCCCCTGTGAGCCCTGCTTAGTTGACTGTGTGGGCCATAGTCTCATGGTTACTTCTGAATCTTAATGAGTTTCCCCCTAGATGATATTCTCATTTTTAGAAAGACGTAGCTATACAACAGGGTGGTTTGATAAACTCAACCAGAACCCATTATTTTTGTTGTTTAATTATTTTGTCATTCAGTTATTTTATTTATGCACTTATTAGCACATATTAATTATATATCATAATGAGTTACATTATGTTACCTTATGTACATATCTAACATATTTTGATTATATATACCTTCATTACTCTCCTTTGTCATTTTCCCTGTAATCTCTTTTCTTAACCAGCCCCTATGTGTTTTTGTGTGTGTAAATTTAATTAGTGTTGTTAATAGGTAGTGTAGGTAATGGTTCATTCACGTCCACATGGGATACTTACCAGTGGGCTATACCACTGAAGAAAACATCTTTCCCTGAGTAAGCTCCATGTAGCTTATAAGGGGTGGAACCTCACATCTTTCTCAGGTTTTCTTTCCTTCTCTAACTTGTTTTTCTCACACATGTGCTCCTGAGAGTCCTCTCAGGAACCCATCTTGAGTCCTCACCAGAGTCCTCATCTCAGGCTGTAACAGTTTGAATGAAGACTGTCCCCCATGGTTATGGGCTTTTGAACATGTGGTTGCCAGTTGGTGGTGCTGTTTGAGGATGTGCAGGTGGCAGAGCCTTGCTGGAGAAAGTATGTCACTACAGGTGGACTGTAAGATAATAAGCTTCACCTCATTCTCAGTTCCCTCACTGTGTTTCATGCTTGCTCCTACAGCTTGCTGCCCTGCTTCCCTGCCATATGCACTCTAATCCACCTGGTACCTGAAACCCAAATAAGCTCTTCTATAAGTATATTTAACCATGATGTTTATTACAGGAACAGAAAACTGACTACTAGGCCCTGTTTTAAAGACTCCAACCTGTGTTTATGTGCTTGTGAAATATTTTTTGGTCAAGATTTTGTTGCAGCTACAAGAAAAATAACTGAAAGTAATTAATACAACTGATTTGTAGGAATGTAAGAACTGATAAATACCATTTTGGAGATTTAGTCTCAGATGGTTCAAGAAGAATAGCTCCTAGAACAAGCTTTCCTTTTGGTTTGCTATTATTTAGGGGAAAAAATAAACATAGGTGCCTGTTGTTTTAAATAGTTTATTCGTAATTCTCATATGTCCCCCTGGTTCTGTTCATATACTGTAACAGAGCAGTATCACACAGCAGTTGAGAATGTTGGTGCTGCGACTAAAGCTCCTGAAAAAAGAAAGGAAAATGGTGGGGGAGTGTCTTACATTTTACTTTGTGTGCATTTTGCATGTGAGTTAGCGTCTCTGTCTACCTCTGTCTCTCTGTCTGTCTGTCTGTCTGTCTGTCTGCCTGTATATCTCTCTACTCCCTATAGGCATGTGAGCTGCTTTTAAAACTTAGATTCTTCAAAACTTACTTGAATTAGTGTTCTTAGATGCTTTAATCTTTTTTCTATACCACTGACCAGAGGTAGCAGGGAGTAAAGATTAATTGGAAAAGGGATTTAGAAGTAGTACTTTTGGGTAATTCCAATCTTTGTTGTCAGGATATCAGCAGTACATTCCAATAGCAAACACCTTATACAAGTCAGTAGAGGGAGTCCAGTCAAATAGCAAACACCAAACAGGAATCAATAACAGTGGCTTGATCCAGCAGAAGCTATAAGGCTCCTTCAAATTGGCACTAGTCAGCAGAAGTGGCAAGAATTAGTCAGAATACTACAAGAAGTTCTTTAGTGAGTTTCCCTCCATGAAGTGAAGACCAGAGAAGACCAGTGAAGCATTGTTTGGCTAGCAAAGGTCAGCAAAGTGCTGCAAGGCATTTCAATGCAAGTTCTCTGACTCTCTGTTGGGTTATATTTGAATTCTTTCTAAATATCACACATCCTCTCAAATTTCTGCTCTAGCAAAACATTCTCTCACAAGACAATTTTCAGAAAAAAATTATTTGAGACATCTGAGTTTCCAAAGAGATCAGAAATTTCCACTTCACACCCTTACCATATCCCTGATTTTAGTGGGATTGCTTCAAGTTTCTTTTCATTTAATTTGATATTGGCTATTGGCTTCATGTATATTACTTTTACTATGTTTATGAATGTGCCTTTAATTTCTGATCTCTCCAAGGCTTTTAACATGTAGGAGTGTTAGATTTTTGTCAAAGATTTTCCCAGCATCAAGTGAGATGATCATGTGATTCTTTTCTTTCAGTTTGCTCATATAGTGGATTGTGTTGATGGATTTTCATATATTGGACCATCCCTGAATCCTGGGATGAAGCCTGCTTCATTGTGGTGAATTACATTTCTGATGTGCTCTTGGATTTGGTTTGCAGGAATTTTATTGAGTATTTTTGCATCGATGTTCAAAAGCAAAATTTGTCTGAAGTTTTCGTTCTTTTTTGAGTTTTTGTGTGGTTTAGGTGTCAGCGTAACTGTGGCCTCAGAATTAATTGAATAGTGTTCCTTCCATGTCTATTTTCTGCAGTAGTTTAAGGATTATTGGTATTAGCTCTTCACTGAAAGTCTGATAGAAGTCTACACTTAAACCATCTGGTTCTGTGTTTTTTTTTTTTTTTTCTGGTTTTGGAGGCTTTTAATGACTGCTTCTATTTCCTTAGGGGTTATCGAGCTGTTCAGATAGTTTACATGCTCTTGATTTAACTTTGGTGTGGTATCTGTCTAGAAAATTATCTGTTTTATTTAGATTTTCCAGTTTTTTTGTAGTACAGGCTTTAGATGTAAGACCTAAAGATTTTTTAAATTTCCTCAGTTTCTGTTGTTCTGTCTCCCTTTTCATTTCTGACTTTGTTAATTAGAATAATGTCTCTGTCTCTTTTAGTTAGTTTGGCTAAGGGTTTGTCTATCTTGTTGATTTTCTCAAAGGACCAGCTCTTGGTTTTTTTGAGTTTTTGAATTGTTCTCTTAGTTTCAGGTGTGATGTTAAGTTGCTAATAAGAGATCTCTTCAATTTCTCTATGGAGACACTTAGTGCTATGAATTTTCCTCTTAGCACTGGTTTCATTTTGTCTTATAAGTTTGTGTATGTTGTGCCTTCATTTTCATGAAATTCTACAAAGTCATTAATTCTTTCTTTCTTTCTCTTTCTTTCTTTCTTTCTTTCTTTCTTTCTTTCTTTCTTTCTTTCTTTCTTTCTTCTCCCTGATCAAGTGGTCATTGAGTAGAGAGTTGTTTAATTTCCACGAGTATGGTGGCTTTCTGTTTTTTTCTGTTTTTGCTGAAGTTCATTTGTAATCTGTGGTGATCTGATAGAACGCAAGGGGTTATTTCAATATTCTTGTATCTGTTGAGTATTGCTTTGTGCTAAGTTATATGGTCAGTTTTGGAGAAGGTTCCATGAGATGCTGATGTTTTGTTTTTGTGTGAAAAGTTCTGTAGGTATCTGTTAAATCTATGTGGCTCATAACATCTATTAGTTTCATTGTTTCTTTGTAAAGTTTTTGTTTCAGTGTTGGTGAGAATGGGGTGTTGAAGTCCTCCACTGTTATTGTGTCACATTTAATGTGTAATTTGAGGTAGTAAAGTTTATTTTATGAATGTGGGTGCCCTTGCAGTTGGGACATAGATGTTCAGAATTGAGACTTCATTCTGGTAGATTTTTCCTTTGATGAGTATGAGGTGTCCTTCTCTATCTCTTTTGATTACTTTTGGTTAAAAGTCTA